CTCTACACATATTGTAGTTTAATACCAATTGCTGAAAGGAAATTTTTGGATTTTCAGTTACATCTAACATAATGGTATTAAAAGAGTTCTCGTCATTTGTAACATTTTTTGGTCTGCCGATTCTTTGACAATTTCTAACATTACCAATTTTGGTAAATCTACGCAATGTTTTTGACCTAGAGACTTGTTCTCGACTGGGATGAATTTCATTAAAAAGTGCTGCTATTTTAGTATTGCTTTGACGTCTGTCTCCATAGACTACCATCATCAAGATTTCTGTTCGTTCAGTTTCTGTTCATGGTTTCATTATAGTGTTTTGCTGAAATATTTTTAAATCTAGATATAGATGTTTGCTTTTCAGTAGACACTGACAAATTGATTACAGTATCTTCAAAGCTAACTACAATTTTCTATTTTAAAATTTATTCATTATAAATAATGTATCCATTTATTTTTAGTTAAAAAAGTGTATGCATGTGTTACAGTTTTGAATTCAGAAAAAATTCTTCTACTCAAAAATTGACGATTTGACTATTTAAAAAAATCTAGTTAGCGTGGCATCTTAAAAAGAAATTAAATTTAAAACTAACGATCCAACTAACCTTTCCGGAGATATTCAACTGCTTCCATAATTTTTAGCAACCATGTATATTTAAAAAATTGCCAACGTAATTTTACAGTCTTTTCAAAATGCTGAAAGGGAAAATAAGAAAACATATTACGCAGAACCTCTTTTCTTAACTGTGAATCTATTATGGATGAAAGAAACGTCAAAAAGTTGTTTTTAAATTGTCCTTTCAAAATGGAAAGAAACTACAGGACTTGACACAAATAAGCAAAAGTGAGAAATCATTCGAATCATGTCCCGGCAATTACTCAACTTGCCAAAATTGAAGTTTTATAAAGTGAAATTATAAAGGTGACCGGGCACTCAAATAATATCGTTTTGATAAAGCACTACCTCTGGGTAGATAATGAACACTAGGAGAAAATTTAACACAAGTCCACCTTCGCGGGAACAGATTCCAACATCAAATGAGTTACAAACTGATGATACGAACCACCTCAAACAAAAAAATGCCTACAGACTAAGGCTTCAAGCTTGTAATGTTTCTCTCTTTAGGTAGGGGATTAAAAAAATTGCGTTAAAACATAGGAAAAAATACGAAGAAAAGCTGATAAATAATAGCAATCTCAAAAGTTTTTACAAGCAGGTCCTTAGAGCAATCACATCAAAAACACAGATCCCATTGTTACGTAAAGATCAAATCGAATACAAATCATATACATAAAGTAATAACATAGAAGTAGCCAGCTCGTTAGCGGCTAATCCATTTCAATTTCGACCTCCCTAATAAATCACATAGAAGAAAAAGTATGAAAATTCATAAAACAACTCGATAAAAGCTCAGTCCCCAACTTTAATGCCATTTCCGAAGCTGTGTTATTAAAATGTGTTTCCAAACCAATTACTCCTTTGTCCATTTTAATACGTCTTCCTTTGATCAGCACAGTAAACCTCAAGACTGGCTAACCGTAATCACAACAACGCTATTTAAGAAACAGCACAAGTTGGATCCCAAAACGTATCATCATATTAGTCGGACTTCAGTTTGTTCTAAAGTTGTGGCGGAATATACATTGAAATACAAGCTTTAAGTGCTTAACATCAATTAATACCCACTAAACAACATTTGGACAAAGTGCCGGCTCGCAGACTTCTTGCAAAATTGAAAGTACATGGAATTAAAGGGAACCTACATAAATGTCGTGAAGCACTTCTTTCAAACAGAAGTTTTTCAGTTAGAATAGGTTCAGACGTAATTTCGAAGGTTTCTACGGTTGGAATCAATACATGATCATTTCTGAGTTGGAACCGTGTTAATTGAGTTTTTCAGCTCAACGTTTCGCACACTTTCGTAACACTTTCTCTGAGTTTCCCCTCTGCTATGGTTGACATACTGAGTTACCGTGCTCGTTTGCCTTATTCTTAACCCTGCTCCTGAAAATGCCACTGTCGAAAGTGTGCGAAACGTTGAGCCCAAAAACTCAATTAACACAGTTCCAACCCGAAAAACGACCATGTATAGGTTCAGAAGTGTCGGATTCGAAACCTGTACTCAGTGGGGTCCTTCTGTTTTTGTTGCACACAGCTGAACTACCATTCACAATATGTTGTAAACGCTGTCCGTTTGGCGATGATTTCAAGCTTTACAACTGCTCTCCAGACCATATAATGCTTCAGCATGATTTGGAGGTGTTAAATAAATGGCTACGGTCGCTCAATGTAGCCAGATATACAGTTCTTCATCTTGGGTCAAATAACTCACTACATCCCTATACCATTAACAACATCCTTATCAAAAAGGTTATCTCACAATGTGGTTTAGAAGTAATAACCACACATGATTTATCGTGGAACCACTGAAAAAAAGCAAATCGCCAGGTATTTCTTGTATCAAAAACTTTTGGCCAACACAATAACAGCAACGAATAAAATATATATCACTTACATCTGACCCATTCTTGAATATTGTGGACCAGTTTGAAACTACTGCCAGGTTGCCCTTTGGAAGAAACCAACACGACTATTCCTCCAAACTTCGACATTTTAAGCTGTCTTCATTTTACACCAGAAAATGAGGGTACTTAATCTTCACAGATAGAATTCTGTATCATCTAATTTATTTCATTGTTTTCATCTAAATATATCGATCCACGTCCTTGTCGCCATAGCCCAAATTTCACAAGAGAGAGATCTGCTGTGAGATGCAGAATGAACTTTCTGTTTAACCGAATTGTTACCGATTGAAACAGCTTAACCGATCATATCATGTGAACATACGTGAAGAATAGATATGACGCATTCTACAATATTAACTAATCTCATTTCGTATTGTTGAAATGAACTGATGAAATCTATATATTCTTAAACTGCAAGTAAATAATAAAAATAAAATGAATAAGAATTTGCTCACTAATCCTTAAGAAAGAAGAAATTGACAGATAGAGATTTTATCATCGAATGAAGCTCCACTCTCTTTAGTGCATTTACAAACCGTTGACAATACTCTACAAATTCACCTTTTTTGAGACATGCCGCAATTAATTTTCAAAAGATTTAAACTTATCCTAGGAAGATCAAAGGAAAATCGAGTATATTAGGTTATTATCCAATTACACCTAAAAAAATATTGTAAAAGCTGTTGCCTACAGCTTCGCTTATGAACTTTCATCCTCTATTTTACCCCCAACTATTTACATTACAAAAGGAACCTACTGCCCAAATTTCATCTTTCTAGCTCAATAGTTTGGGCTCAGTGTTGATAGATCAATCAGTCTCTCAATCGGTCAGGACAAACACTATTCCATAGCTCTCTCTTTCTAAAGACGGCCCCAGAAGTTAATAATGTTGTGTACTCCAACCAATGTAATCAAAATAATCTTAGTTGATCAAAACATGGTTATAAAAAAGCCTTAGATGGTCTGAGTCACTATTTATTTATGCAAACTTCTTGGAGAAATTATACATTTACAATCTTTCACCAACGTGTACTATTTGCAGATATTTTTGAAGTAACTATCCACCTTAGTGGAGTGTGCGTTGTTGCTTTTTCGAATTACAAATTTACTTTTTATTATTGATTCGCAGCTTTTACAGCAGGGCAGTTTTATTTACATAAAACTTACACTTAGAAATAGTTACAAGAATCAGAATAACTGAGAAAATTGGACCCGACCTTGTGGTCTTCTTGTGAATGCTATGCTTCGAAAAGGAAATGAGCACTAACTTATGTCACCAACAACGATCTCTTTTTATTCCCAAATAAATGAACGGTATATCTTCGAAAAATTGAGTAGCTGTTTCACATCGACTGGCGGTGACATTTTAATAATGGCTTGAATCTTTTCAGGGTTTCTATTCCATCGGGCAAAATAACAGATCCAATTCATTACGCTCGTTGGAATTCGAGAGAACATTTTAGTTGATTCATTTTCAATTTAAAGTATCTCAGTTGGAGGTCCTGGTTTCTTATCAAACTTTATCGATTTGTTTCAATTGCTTGACGAAAACCAGGCTTCCTTGGTGTGAGCCAGAGTAACCTATTGGGCGAAATCATACATACATGGCATCACACAATAATTATGTAGTGTGTGAAAAATTTTCCCCAAAGAGAGCCCGAAAATTAGACAATCGGTCGCCAAGGTATCCCGGAGTGGAGATAAGCATGATTTGCATCCATTAGTGATACTTCAAATACGGTCACTGATCTCAGACGCGTTAATGGAGCTAACAGCACCAGGGATGTGGCATTCTTCTAAAATTTCCTTTAGTATGCAAATCTTCAACCCAAAACCTGCAGAGGGATAGGTTTACTGAATAATACCAAGCCTGACTTCCATAATCGATTGCGGGTCTTACTTTGTGAAGGATAGCATCTCCAAATAGTCTGTAAAATAGTTTGATTTTTCATAAACTGTAAACTTATCTTTAAGGAACTCATACTACTATGAGCTAACAAAATTTGTTTTAAATAGAAAACAGGATGTCGATAGTGGAGGACCTGGACTTAACACACAACTAGTCTAAGTTAAAGAGCTTTCGTTATTGGGTAAGTTCAAGGAGGAGACTTAAGACTTGGAAATGTTTAAGAAGTTTCATTCTCTGACGAAACAATGTTGTAAGCGCGTTCTACAGACGAGGGTACAAATAAACCAGCTCGTGCATGCCGGTAGAGATCGATGGAACGCTTGGTGCAAAGTGAATGCTTCTTGGAACTATAATTCGGACAAAAATGACGCCAAATATAGTTTTTCATATAAACCGATATGTTAGACTTTCTTTCATTATAGAAATTTTGACAGCACAGTAATGTTGGAATTAGTGTTACAATATTTTTATTCTCAGGTGTTAAAGAAGTATACAGATATATTAAAAATTTTAATGAAACATGTGTATTGGAAGAGAAATATTCTTTGCATTTAATAAAATAAGAGTGTTCGCATTTTGTTAACGCATTGGTTTTATTTTAGTACAGTGTACAACAAAATTCGTTTCAAATTTACAAAAGTATTTTATTTTGAATCTATATTAAACACAGCAAATACTACAAGATGCAGTTTCACTATTTCCTATTTACCTAATTCTGTACATTAACTCATCGTCCTGTGCACTGTCACTTTCGTTTGAAAAGTCCTTTCAATGCTTCCGTAATTCTTTATGCTAGGCAGACTATTTCTATACTTGAATCTATCATTCTCAGGTCTTCCTCTTGGTTTTCCTCTGCTTCCATACCTTAGTAACCTATTTGTTTTTGAATCCGGAGCCACCACTTGTAAAACCGTATCTAACAACTTTGCTTGCTTCGGAGGCGGCGTAGGATTATCAATAATGATCATAGCGTTATGCTTCCTTTCTAAAGCAGCATTCTTCTTCATGAGCATTTTCGCTTTTTTATTGAGCAACTCTTGAGCTTCAGGATAATGCGACAGGGCTGAATTTAAGTCGGCTTTGCTCAGAACAAACAAATTTGAGTGCCCTTGAGATCGAACGTCGGCAGTTCTTCGGTTCATTCCTGGTATTCCTAAGAGACTAATTTCCCCAAAAACCGAGCCTTCGGAAAGGGTGGCAAGAACTTCGTTTTCTGTTCTGCCAATAACTTGGACTTTTCCTGACTGGATTATGTACATTTCTTTACCCACGTCTCCTTTTTTGCAAATTATATCGCCAGGAAGATAAATTACAGACTTTAGCTGTAGGACAAGTTCACGACGGAGAGCTTCATCACAGTCTGCAAAAAGTTTTACTTTGCTTAGGGTATGGATGTGGACATTAATGGCTATATCGGTTTTCATTTTGTGAGGCAAGCAGTCCATTATATTGTTCTCATCTACAATAAAAATAGATTTTTTAGTACAAATGCTACCATAGTACACTAATAATAGCAAATTTTGTTTCGATAAAACACGAAAGGTATTAGTGTTAAGTTAACAGGATCACGTCTATAGTAAAAGTGGAAAATAAACTCCCAAGAACTCAATTAAATCAAAGGAAGTTCTGTGGGAAGAAAAAGAGAGAAAATCGAAAGTGTTACAAAATAAATGCAAACATGAAAAATATTTCAGACAAGTCAAAGAGATCTGGGAAAAAAATTAATAGATTTTCCTTTTTTATGCCATCTTATTAATTGATTACCAACTTTGTAACAGCTAGTTATGTTGATACGTGAAATTAAAGTAAATATTTATTTCTCTCTATTTTCCTAGTTATTCCACAACATCAACACCAAGCAGGAGTTCGAATTTTTATTTATTTTATTTTATCTTTATTACGCATGATAGTCGAACGAAATTAGATAAGGAATGAGTTTACACTTTAGTCAAAGCTTGGAATTAAAATTCTATCGGTAATCTGTAACTTACCAAGCGTATGTTGAGTTTCCCAGGTGTAATTAAACCACATCTGAACACGTTTTTGCATGTCCTGGGGCAAATTCAGTCGTCTCATGTATTCCAGAGTTTCGTCAACTAATTTCCTGTATTCTGTCTTTGATCTCGTGGCAGTTGAAATTATATCTCTTATTTGGCCAATTAACAAAGCAAACACGAATACTCCCATTAACCATGAGAAAGTCATAAACATATACTCAATTTCCTGAGTAGGTTTAGGATTTTTTCCAATAGAGGTTGCAGTTTTCGTGGCAAAATAGAAACATTTAATATAGGCATTATTGACACCATCAAACACAAAATTATTGCTTCCAATTCCTTGCCAGTCTGAGAACGCATAGTATGCACATGCATTTAAATGTATTAAATACATCATGTACATCAACGTTCTAGTTATTCTTATTACATAAGGATTAGCAAGAAGTTTATCTACGAAACTGAAAAATTCTCTAAAAGTATGTAGCTTGAAAAAGCGTGGAAATCGTAAGATCACCCGGTCAGGTCCCAGCACAAAATATAGAAGATCCAGTGGAATCAACGATATCAAGTCCAACTGAAATCAGAGTTTAATGTAACAATATAAGAAGCACTAACGGATGTTACCTTGAAAGCTTTCTTCTTAATGTAGTTGTGTCTAAGCTGCGCCATGTCAGTAACCCAAAACCCTTCGTGCAAATATTTGACCCTCGGCTGGATGAGGATCATGTCGATAAAGTAAACAAAATCAGCTATGTAATCAAACGCCATCCACACGGGCCTATTTTGAGGTGTCTGGTATGGAAACGTGCTCCTCAAAGGAATGACCCATGCGTTATACATGACGGACATGGCAGCAATTGACATCCACGTAATGTATACTTTACCATTAGGATCAATAATTTTGTTGTCTAACACATACTTTATATTTTTGTACACGAAGTTTGATTTAGTTTTTGTTTGAGGAACTACTTCGACGCTAGTTTCAGATGTGCTTAGTTTAGGTTTGTGCGGAACTGACGTTGGTTCGATTGTTTCTCTGCTGCTGATAGAAGAAGGTGTTGCAGGAGTTTCTATACGTTCTCGGGCAGCTTGGGCACGGGTGCTGAAGGCATCGACGAGATGACGAATTCGATCCTGGATAAACTGACGGTTTGCCGTGCTAGAAACATAAAAATATAAGTTGAAATAATCAACTCTATATTATAATTAAAGAGAATCTTTTAAAAATGTCTACTTTCAGAACGAATACATCAAACAAATGATTGATGGTGTAATCGAATGTAGACAAAACCCTTGAACGTTTCAGTCTAACATTTTTGCCATTAAAATCTTGTACCTCGTCGTCTTCTCGAGGTTCTGTTTGACAAATAAACTTCAACATCATCAAACAGATTTAAAATATATGTTCAAAAATGATGTTCAAAGGCTGATGAAAATATTTCAAAATATTGTTAAAGAGACTTTGCCTTAAATTTGTATCAGTGCACGTTGTTTTAGGTACAGGCTGTCCTGACAAAAATAAATTTGGAACGTTAAATTTTATAGACCATCCACAAATTTAGTATTTTTACGACTTTGCCTTTTCCAAACCTAAACAGATCAGCCTGACCGTCGTAAAAACAGGTAACAGGAACATAGGAAGGTCGAGAAGTATGCCACCCCAATACGCTACCGGAATTGGAGCTAGTGTCATAAATTTGCATCTAATAAACCTGCATTATTCGTTCACAAGGGTGGCAGAGGAATCAAAGTCGTAAAACCACTAAATTTATGGACGGTTTATATAATTTGTGGGAGTTCATATAACAGAATTCTTTGAAATTTGGGTTTGATATTTTTGAGAACACAGAAAATTAAATAAAATTTCTGTACGTTATTTTTGTTCCAAAAATGATATAATTTTTAGACAAATAATTTCAGAAACTATTTCTGTTTCTTCCTTCCTAAGAAAGGATGACATCATCTCAAAATTTTAAGAAAATCTTACTTGAATAATTTAATTAAGTCTAACAATATTTTATAATAAAAGATTAATTGCTGCAATGTATAAATTCTTTGAAATGTGTTAGTCTTGAGGTCATCTTGAGTAAGAAATAGTACAACATAGTAAAATTTTCTAGTAATAATAATAATAACAGTTCAACAAAAAATTGTTAGTTATTTACATTACAACATACGTCAAAAAAACATAGCGAAATAGTACTTACGTAACATATAACAAGTAAATAACAAAATAATTCAAAAAACAAATGATTTCAACAATCAAAAATTTACGCTAATACCAATAGTTGAGATCTTCATCTCCAAAATTAAAACATTCCATTAGTAACTGCGTGACAAAGACTTAACGTTCGTTAAACAAATTTTAACCTATCTTCGGTTCGCCTATAAATAAGACTAATAAAACATTATTATTAGTCAAAAATTTAAAAAATGATTGAAGAAAATATTTTCATAAATAAACAAATTAATAATGGATTGTATTTTTCTTACATTACAAAATTACTGGGATCAATCACATCAATCACATGAGAATTTCATATTTCATGGATATACTGGGGAATAAGAAAAATCCTTTATTAGGTTATTACAACATCCATTACATCAAAATCGCTCATGCTTATTCTGATATCACAATCGACAAAAGGTGGTGTTGCCATAGTATTTGCTCATTTATTATGGTTTTGTGCTTTTTTTCATAATTTTCCATTTTTAAGTTTTATGTGACTTTTTCTTTGTTTGGGAGTGGAAGAGTGAAAGAGTATTGGCAATTGTGACCATTATTTAGTCACATGATTTGCGTCATTCGCCTACGGCTCGTTTCGCAAACGTAGTCTTGAATATTGGCTATCATAATTGTTCATATAATAATAATCTGAAAAAAATAAGGATTAAATATTCACTTAAAAATTTAATAACTAGGGGAAACTATCTGTTTAAAATATCAGGGGCAGCCGCGCGTGCCTCCTCAAAATCACAACGTCTACATTGAACGTAGAAAAGTCGTAATTTTCAATATTTAAAAAATTATCCGGAAGTTTGTGTCAAAATTATCAAAACAATTTTTTTATCTCGCTCCATTTGTATCAGATGTATCAAAACTTACATCTAAAGCAAAGACCAAATCATGACTCATTTAGACGTTTTGTTTACACCGTTGCCATGAAAACCACGCCTCTAGTCGCTGTATTTGGTTGGAATCGGGTCACATTTGAAACAATGACCGCTAGCAGTAATTCAACTACGGGAATTCATTTTCATTCTGCGTTAGTGAAATTGTCTGATTTTAAATAAAAATGATGAATTCAGTTGAATATTTAATAAAAAAACGTCTTTTGTCTTAAGACGATTAAATTATAGTGAAAAATTTAAGTAGAGCCACCCCCGATTTATTTATATAAAAATGTTCATGGAAAAACGAGAGACTTTCATAGATAATTTAATGGACATAACACGTATGATAAATTTTTGTGGATGTGCGGTTGTGAAAAAAATTATAAATTGTTTTATTTTGTGTGTCTCCTCAGTAATGAGTTAAAGCACTTTAAAGGTATGTGAACAAATTCTTTTTTACTTTTATTGAATGTCTGTTAATTGGTAATAACAGCCTGTTTTATTATCTTGTATATTCAATTCATTAATCAAATTGTGTCTCCCATTTCAAAAGGTCATAAGCCTGACTTACATTTTAAACATTTAACTCGAGAAACGAGAGTTCTTAAAACTAAAGAATTTTAAATGTTGATAAGAGTTGCAGTTGAAATTTGTTCCTATTCGATTTGATCAAATAAATAATAAACTTGAAATTTTCCGAAAAATTTTGTTTTTAACCAAGGGCAATTGCTTAAATTTATTATTTAAAAATCATAAAAAAAATAATTCAAAATAATTGGTTAGCAGACCTCAAAAAATAACTTCTAAATAATTTTATTTTTATTACCATCACTTCTGTCTGATTTTTTAAATTTGGGGTAAGGGGAGCCTTTGAAAAGATGTGGAAGACGTGGGGCGTGGTTTAATTATTTTTTATATAAATGTCACAGTCTTTGAGAAAAATTGAGGGTAAACTAATTAAACTACGCCCTACGTGTTTCACATCTTTTGTTTCGAAGTCTTCCTATATCCCAAATTAAAAAATTTGTACGGTAAATTATTATTATGTAGTATCAAACATTAATTGTCAATTTTTGAACCAAAAAAAAAAAATATATATATATATATATACCATAACTCGATTCAGTGCGTATAAATATAAGACCCACAATGGTACGCTATAATTGAAGACAACGTGGTTATTATTAAAAAAATAATAATAATTTTAACTGTATACACAGTTTCATCTTTTTTTTCTGGTGCATGGTTACAACTTCCCAATGTAAAAAATCATAATAAAGTTAAAAAAACGTTACAAAAATATTTAAAGTTTTCATTCGATTCTCAAATATATTTTAAGTGAGCAATTTGTAGAAATTTTAATAAAATTTTGCAATTCAGACTATGTATATTATTCACAATTTAATACAGTTCGTTTACACTTTATTACAAATAAAATATTATTCAAAGTAAGTTTTATATTTCCATTGAAAACTATGCATTACACGGATCTGCTTCAGGAGTGGCACGAGCCTTGACACCATACTAAGTAGCAATAAAAATACTGCTATTAATTTAATTATTTTTCGTGGAATTATTTTGCAAGTATACCGAATACCAAAAATAGAACATGGTGGAATAGTTAGTAGCCAAAATCGTCCTCAACAAAAGTTACGATAGCTTACGAAAGCTAAAAAATGTCAATAATTTTATAAATCAAAATGCACCAACACTTGATACTCGATTAGCAAAAATTCTCTGTTTATCCCCTCTAAAAACTTGATGACGTCATCTCAAAATTTAAAATATGCAAAATAGTATGGGTTTGTAATTGTGGTTTACCACTACTTACACCCATTTTTTTACAATTATTTATTCTACAGAATTTCTCAAAAAATTAATGAATGAAACACTACATTTTATTGATTAGAGCAACAACGGCTTATCTGATTTTTCTGAAATTCTGGGAATACAATACTGTTGTAATTGCAAGCTACTAATATTAAACTGTGACTATCCAAGTTGATATGTTTGTTCCTACTAAAATGTTGATGACGTCATTACAATTTTTTTTTAAGGAAAACTCACTTGAAACATAACTAAGTAGATTAATAGTCTATACTATTTTTATTCCTAACACAAAAAAAATCAGAATCCAATTGTTTCATATATCTTCGAATTTATCTAAAAAAATTAGACTTGTTTAATTGATTGTGTTTCCAGGACAACGAAACTTCTGGCTAAATAACTTAAATCATTTTTTTTTTGTTTCTTTGATGGGAGCCACCGAAAACTCCTAAGTAATTTATTAAAGAATATTACAGAGACTAAATTCGTAGCATTTCTAACACGGAAACTCTCACGTTTTGAATTGAAGCTCAGTAACAGAATAAATCTATTATGGAAAATAAATTAATTGCATGTTGGATATACGGTCGCGGCCAGAAAATCTTGGACGTCATTTACCTGTCATTTTGAAAATTTTGATTTAGTCCATGCTTTATTGTCACTTTGATATTTGAAGTTTAAAAGATTTGTCACATTTTGTCACATTTGTCACGTCGTCGCATCCAGTGTTAGCATGCCTGAAGCGTCAAAAATGACAAAACTAAAAAATAAGGTTACAATACTTAAAGGTGTTTCACATTTTGTGACAGAGGAATGACACTAACGGCCAAAATTTTCTGGCCGCCACTGTACCTGAGACCAAAGGGTAAAGCAATAATAAAAATATACAAAATTAATGTCAAATATGATCTGTAATCATAACGCTTACTCATTTGAAGTAGAGAACAACACATGTATTAAATAAGACTGGACTAGAGTATAGTAAAACATCTTGCGCTACACAATTAGACAAAAGTGTCTTAATAAAAATATATTTTTTGAAGTTTTAATAATGATATAGCCTACATGTGGATGAAACAGTAGTTGTATATCTAAATTAATTCCAAAAAACTGATTTTTAAAGAAAATACCATCCTAACAGATTTGGTCTACTAGCTAAAACCCAGAGTTTCCCTTGTAAATGTATGTTCGTTAGAGAAGCTGTTTCTGGTCAAAAAAATACGAGAAAAAAATCACATAGATCAAAAAAGGGGTCCTGAGATATTCCATATAAAATTTTTGCTGTACCCGACAATACACTGTATAAAATTATATTTATTAAATAGACTCATTTAAAATTCGATTTATCAAATTATTATTTGGGGGTTTTATGCCTATGTACCAAATATTGTATAGTCGTCCATTTTAACCCACACCACATACATATATTGTACCACGCTTTCCCTTTTTTTTTTAAATATGCACTAAAAATTAAGTTTTACTATTAAACAAATATCCAAAACGTTACAGATTCTCTGCTCTAACAAGAAATGTTTTTAAAATACAAGAGGCGTAAAACGGTGTGACCTGTCTGGGTTTTTGTCAAATATTAGTCCTGAAGATTCTAACTATACACTGTCCTTCATACTTCATGCAGAATGAACTCAGCACGTGAGTTATTGCATATTTAATTTACATAACTATGACAGTTTTGCAATTTATTTAAGTGGGGAAGTTTAGACATTTACTTTTTAGCGGTTTAAACTTTTGTACGAAAATACACAATATTTTACTTTCTTTTAAAATATAAAGTTAATATAAAATATAATTTCAAAAAATTATAATCTAAATTTTGACTTAATGGACTTTTGGAATTTTTTATCGATATATAATAAGTCCAGTTAATTTAGGACAAAATTTATGATAAATACGACTTGCCCCAAGAACCACAAAAAAAGGTCTTGCTGATTTAAATTTTAAAGTAATGATTTTTTAGGTCGTCTGCTTTTCTTTCCATGACCTAAGTTACGTTTGCCCTAAATTTAACATAAATCTAAGGCGATTACAACTCGTATCATAGAAGAATCATCACCACTGCGAATTCCGAATTAAGTAAGCCTTATATTTTGTTTTAAATTTACGTTGTCCTTCGTCCGCTTCCTAAGCGATAAAATCACATTATCATAAAATAAAACCTACGTGGTTGCCGCCACATTTTCCAAAGACGGTGACCTGTTTTTCTCACGGGCATCACTTTGCACATTGGCACTTTTCACACGAATGGTCGAATCACTATTAATGTCAATTTTGGTGTATCTTTCCAGTGGTCCACTGCACCACGATGACGCTGCTGTAGTAGACGACTTATCGGTGACTTGGTCCAACGATAACTTTTCCGGATACACCATTCTCTGCAAGCAAAACAAAAAAATGTTTGCTTATATGGACGAAGTGAACAACATGAACGACAAGTGGCGTCTGAACTAGCCTTAAAACGCTTTGCGATACCGTGTTTAGAATCGACAAATGGCATCGAATATAATTAAATAAAGTGATTTAAACAATTACTAGCATCAGGCAATTATTTTGTTAAGTGATTACCTTTTTGAAGCGGTAAATGTTTTCCATTTCTGACTATTAATGCGCGTTGCGTGTCATCCAGTTAGCTACTAGAGACATGAAAAGAGAAGACCGACGAACAGGACGAAGGTAACCATGGTTACCCTTATTTTCAATCGATTTTGAGATTAGATTGGACGATTATTAAAATTAATAACTGCTCGGGCCTTGTGGGTGGCACTATTGTAATTTTTATGGGATTGTTATTATTAATACCGTCGCATTTTGGCAGGATAATTAGAATGATTCATCTGTTTTTCGATTGCATGTATTGAGACAATAAAAACATAGTCGGTTTATTGTCCCAACTGCGGAGTCATTGGACAGAATGAGGTAGAATTTGCCTTGTAGAAATTTCAACAGATCTGCCCGTTTTCAAATTGCCAAGCTAATTTATGTAGACTGCATGTCGTTACATGTGTAGCCCCCAAAAAATAAAAAACGCCCGACCTATAACATAATGTTTCTTTAATAAATACTATAAGCTCATAAGGAGAAAAGTAAATTTAAGGATTCTGGGTCTAGAAGTTTCCCACATATATTATAGTTTCATTAATTGTCGTAAAAAGTTAGCTAAAATCTCGTGTTTTTAAGTGTTTGTGTGTAATGTCTCTCATAGTCATAAGTATAAGACTGTTTAGTGTTGGTAGCTTAAACAGCGTTATCAATCAGTAGTTAAACCAACCTTAGCTGATTAGTGTATACATCGGCCTTGAAAGTAGTTACATTTTTACTATTGTGATAATCCACTCAAAATGACACATACAATAGAAAACCTGCGAAACTTCAAATTTTGGTCTTGAACTGCGATCGTCAAAAAAATGGAATCCTACGTTGTGTTTTGAAAACAAATATATAATGATAATTCAAATACAAAGTACCTCAAGGGTGTAAAAGTGACTTTCAGTCAAAATGCAAAATATGGAGGACAAATCGTTTATTCCTTTCCTGGGGACGAAAAACTTTTGCAAAAGCCTTAAAAGCAATAAAGTAACTGGGTGGTAATAAATACATACTCAAATTACTACGATAGTGAAGAGAAATTTAAATTATGTCAATCGACTGGGGGCGGACCCGTCATTGCGCGTCCTCCAAGGGGTTCTGTGCTTTTATTCCGATGAAAGTTCAGATTTTCGGTTTTTCTTTAATTTTAAATGATAACTGCGTGAGTACTGCAATTACCTGGAAGCAGTAGTAGTAGCGTTTAATTACGCCATATTGTGTCAACAGGCACATATTAAATATGGTCAGACAAAATAAGGTGGTTTTGGAAACGCTTCGTGTGCTTCGAGAATAATTGTTCATATTCAGGTTGTAAAAAAATATACATAAATGCAATAATATAATAATAATACCCCTTTCGAATCCACGATTCGAATTTATCGGATAATAACTTAGTACTTACTAAGACAAGTTTTATTACTAGTTATTGTGATAATCTGATAATGAATGTGTTGCTTAATTGTTAAACGTAGCAAAAGAACCAATTTCGAAATCTTAATAACTCCACCAAAATCTGAGAAGGAATTTTTTTACTATTTTTTCCAGACTCACCAATTGAATTTTAAGAGCGTAGTAAGGAGTTAATCCGCCATTTTCCAGACATCCGATATAAACCACTGACTTTGAGATTTTTATAAAAAAAAATATTAAAAAAACACTTCAATGTCAAAATTGGCCTGTTAAAAAATTATAAATTACCTTATAATAATTTAAAAAACAAAATGCGGGGTGAAATGTACCATTTTACTTACTATTAATTCGTCCCTTTTTTGGTGTTACATATTTAATTTTATAGGATTGCATCCTCCTGCATGTGTGATTCATGAATCCATGCCGACTTTTCACCAGTTTTATCTTAGCAGGTAATAGCCCCGCCCACCCGCCCTCTCTTTTCTTCAATGGTATCTCATTTGCCAAAATCAGTCTTATCTTGGCAACTACTAGCCCCGCCCACCCACCCTCTCTTTTTTTGGAAGGAATGTGATTTGCCAAAAACAGTTTTATCTTAGCAGCTACTAGCCCCACCCACCCGCCCTGTCTTTATTACAGGGTATCTGGTTTGCCAAAATTAGTTTTATCTTTGCTAAGGTAAGACTGATTTTGGCAAATAACTTTCTTTCCAAGAAAATAGAGGGCGGGTGGGCGGGGTTTTAGTATTTGCTAAGATAAGACTGATTTTGGCAAATGACTTCCTTTCCAAGAAAATAAAAGGCAGGTGGGTGGGGTTTTAGTATTTGCTAAGATTAGACTGATTTTGGTAAATGACTTTCTTTCCAAGAAAATAGAGGGCGGGTGGGCGGGGCCAGTATTTGATCAAATAAGACTAATTTTGGCAATTTTCACATTTTCGACCATTTTTCAACTATTTCCGAAAATGAGTTGAAGACGTTTGTACATTGCAATGTCCAGAAGCCATTTTCGTCTTCATTTTTTCGGAAATTCCTTTAAAGTCCTTTTCTTCCAAATAGAGCAATAATGGATCGAATGCTGCAAATGAAGTAATGAACTACTATTTTAAATCTCGAGTGAGGGATTATGAAGTGTAAATGATACAATAATAACTTAAGTCAAATCCATCCAGACTTTAAATATCGTTACTAAAATGGCTTAAGCTCTATTAAATGAATTTCCTGCCACGTGTTTTCCCTGAACATTTACGTTACCGCGACAAAGTTGCGTTAGAACCGTAAACGGTTAAATATCCTAACGGAAACTGAATTTACAAACATTGAAATAAAATACTAACGCAGTCGTCAGCAGTTTCACAACATTACAGATTAGAAAATCGTCAATAAACGAATCTTACCCTAATTATACTCTTTAAGGAGGAACCGTGGCGTAGATCGCGATACATTTTTGTTTAAATAAAATTACAAACAAAATTTAATATAGGCAGTCACCCTTGTTTTAGTATTTGGGAGATTAGGGAGGTCGTTTAGGGGTTGCTAACGCAGGTAGTCTTCAAAAGGTTTACTTCTTTCGTGTGTTGCAGTACTAATTCAAACATAGGTAAGTTAATTTTAATAAAGAAAAATGAATCATCGCATTCGACGTCACAGTCCCCTTCAACGAGTGTAATTAGTGTAATATGAGGTTATTACTAATAATTTTCTAATCTGAAACGTATAAAATTTGACACTTCAACACGTGTAATTTTGGTTTCATCGTTTCTAAATTCACAGTTTATTTTTTTAGTTCAGTTTTTAAATGTTCAGGGTTCTGATATAATGTAACTGCATGTAAAATAGTCAATTAATGGCATGTTAAACTTGATCCTTTTTAAGACAAAGGACATTAAACATTTTCATTAATTAAATTAATATCATCAGCTCGAAAAGGGGAAAAAACCGTATATTTATTTTGATTTTGACTGTACTTAATTTGTATCTGACGTGTTCACTCCTTATGTGCTTGGTTTATTGTATCTGATAATATGAGATTACTTTCGATCCACAAGCACACAATTTTAATTTAATCAATTACATACTTCAATTAATGCATAATTTAACTTCATGTAAATTCTTCGTTGTTTGAAACTCTTGATAGAGCGTGGCATAATTATATTTTTTGCACTCATGACCTTTTTTGATGGCTTTCGCGCATTCACCAGGGTGCGGGAGTTCGAACTTCCCGCACACGTGCATTTTAACTTTCCGTTGTCATGGTAACCTTAAAATACTCGGGTAGTGTCAACATTGTGACGTGTTGACGGCGCTGTCAATGCCGTTGTTTATAAATAACTCACAGTTAATCTCTTAAGTTTAAAGATGTATTCGTTGCAAAAAATATTGTACACAACACGTTCGTGAGCCTGCTTCCCGCATTCACGCAAATGCGTCACTCCCTTCGGTCGTGCCGCAAACAAGCGTTCATGCGGGAAGCAGGCTATCCGAACTCCCGCACCCTGGTGAATGCGCGAAAGCCATCAAAAAAGGTCATGAGTGCAAAATAGTAATTTACACAACTAGTTCGGGATAGCCTGCTTCCCGCATGAACGCTTGTTTGCGGCACGACCGAAGGGAGTGCCGCATTTGCGTGAATGCGGGAAGCAGGCTCACGAACGTGTTGTGTACAATATTTTTTGCAACGAATAAACCTTTAAACTGAAGAAATTAACTGTGAGTTATTTATAAACAATGGCGCCGTCAACACATCACAATGTTGACACTACGCGAGTATTTTAAGGTTACCATGGCAACGGGAAGTTAAAATGCACGTGTGCGGGAAGTTCGAACTCCCACACCCTGGTGAATGCACGAAAGCCATCAAAAAAGATCATGAGTGCAAAAATTACTAATTTTCTACTCATTAAGGTTGAAGTTTGTCATTTTCCCATCGCTGGCAGTGGATGAAATTTCATTTCACCCTCTAGTGGAAAAATACTCGGCCGTCTACGATTTTAACGGGTCGTCCAGCCTGAGCGTTTCGCAGCTAGCGAAACGTGTCGCGTATCGCCTGCACCGACCGCACCGTCCGCTTCGCGCGCTTCGAAAATCATGACGCCTAGGCTGGACGACCCGTTAGTGTTTGACGTTTAATACTGCTAGTTTACACAAGTGAAAACAATGAACATGAGTGAGACTGACGAAGTTTCTGAAGAAATTTTGAATGCTGCCAATGCGGCATTTTCGAATCTGATACAAGTGCAGTTATTGATACAGGAAGCAGCCAACTAAGTTTAAACAAAGATACAAGTTCAAATAATACTTACGATAAAAGTGTAAATATTATTGGTGATAATTGCACAAATTGTTCTATTACAGTTAATGTATTTCAAAAATAAAATACCTACCATAAACAAACATTTATTTCCTAATTTCTTAGAAAAAATAGTATATGCAACTCGCGGATGAAGAAATTTCAACGGCTCGAGTTTCTTTTTCGCACTCGCTCGTTGCACTCGCTCGTGTGAAAAAATCACTCTCGCCGTTGAAATTCAACTTCATCCACTAGTTCCATAATGTACTATTGCTTGTTTTCTACTTTGTAAGAGCATGTTCATTTTGCTATCGTCAAAATATTAATTCTGGAGATTTTAACTCTGATCG